TATACATATATGGATAGAGAAATGACTTTCAGCAGATCATAACCTTTCTCCTGATACCTTACAAGGCCTGCTTTCTACATAAGATCACGATTACATGAAAATGAGGAATATGGGGGTTTCAGCATGCTCCCCCAAGGTACAGAATGTCACAGACAGTATTCCTGATTCCTGGGAGGCAGCAGATCTTGTTCTAAGGCATGGGAACTGCCCGGGCAGGAATTTCCCAGAGGGGGATCATACAGAGAAAGGAACAGTCCCTTTTTGGATCAACAGGAGAACAAACAGGATGGGGGTGATACACTAAATTAGCCCCAGGAAAAAACTTTGCTGACACCAACTCACTCCTGACCCACAGCCCACAGCTATCCCCTCACAGCCCTGCCCTCCCCACAGCTCTGCTGATGCTCCTCAATCCCGACCCACAGCCCTCTGTTATCCCACCCCTAGGCATCCCCCACAGCTTTGCTGATGCCCCTCAATGCAGATCCACATGCCCCTAGTATCCCAGCTCTGAGAACCCACCCCCCAAAGCTCTGCCAATGGCCCTCAATCCCAACCCACAGACTCCTGCTAACCCATACCTCAGGTCCCCCAGACCCCCACAGCTCATCCAATGCCCATCAGTCCTGAGTCCTGACCTCGAGCCCTCTGCTATCCCTGGTCTGGGCTCCCCTCACAGCTCTATCAGTGCCCCTCAATCCCAACCCGCAGACCCTGCTGTCCCAGCCCTGGGCTCCCCCATTCCCAAGGCTGTTGGTGCCCCTCAGTCCCATGCAGCACAGCTCCCCCTCTCCGGCTGCCACACCACAAATCCAGGCTAAACCTTTTCACCTGATATGCACTCAGGGTCCAGCTCTGACTCACCCAACTTACGTCAGTTGTGACCAACTTGTGACCAATGGTGGCAACTAGAAAAAACAAAACCCCTATTGGCGAGTGACTATGAGAAGCAACCCAGGGACCTCAGGGCAATTTCACACCCACTCACCCCCAGGAGGAACAAACAGGCCCAGAGCTATTAATAATGTTCCTCGCCCAACCACATGTTGTCAGAACCAGGAACTTACTTGGAGGGACTCTCACAAGCTAAAATGCTGGTGGCACGGATGGAATTTCAAAAGGAGACCTCCAAAAGTCAGCAGATTCTACAGGGAGTGGAGTAGGGGCACCATCCCCTGATAGTCTCTGCTATGCCCACTGCCCCAGTATGGTATTAAGGGGCACTGTAAGGGGTGATCTCCCCTTGCAGTCACCACTGATCCCAATGCCCTAGCGCAGGGCTAGTGGGCGCTGTGCTGTGGAGAGCAGGTGGGGACTCACTAGGGGGCACAGTCTCCTTGCAGTCACTGTTGACCTCATTGCCCCAGCAGAATGTATTTTCTGTGGGGAGACGGGGATTCTGCGTGGTGCATGAATTGTGCACGAGACAATGGCGCAGAATTCCCCAGGAGTACCCCTTGGAGTCGGGGCTGACCCAAATGCCCCAGCACAGTGCTGTGCTGTAGTGAATACTGCATTTCACATTAGAAACAACCAACTCATTGGTCCCGCTTCTCACTGAACATCCCCTAGGACTTGCCCTCGTCGGTGGGGTATGAACCCTGCTCTTCCCCCTTCCCTTATTCCATTCTGCCCCCTCCCCTAAAATCCACATATGCTTTATTTAACACAGGATTCCCTTTGCACTTATTGGTACCCAGCTGACCCTCCCCAGAGGTGGCTGCAATTCAGGGATCATGGCCTGTCTGGCCCTAGAACTCTCACACTGTTTACCCAACTGGGTCTCTGTTTGCAAAGCCCTTGGCTCTTCCCCAACAGCCCCATCATCCAGTTCAGATCCTCCTCCCCCTGAGTGTGCACAGCCCAGTGGGGACACAGATTTGAGGATAAATAAGCCCCAGTGGCTGTTCCCTGGCTGTTATTCTCGGCATTGGAGGCTTCCTCTTTGCTCCAGCATCCCCCGTTCACCTTTGTGCTGAGCTGTGAGACAACGCGACAGCCACAAAGCTGCGATTGCGCCAAGGAAAAGGGCAGGTGAGTCTGTGCCACTGGCTGCGAGATAGGGACAGAAGGAAGTGGAAGAATAGCGGGAATTGGGATCACTCTTGGTAACTGCCCAGCTAATACCCTTTCCATGGACCCAATTCTCAGATGTGGGGCTAGAACCCAGGAATCCTGACTCCCAGTCGGAGCACACACAGAACAGACCAGGGGTTGTATTTTCTAAAGGAAATCAAGGCTGATCTAGGGAGCACACTCCTGCTGTCTGGATTTAGGTGGCTGGGTCTGGATGGGAGCCAGCACCCCCTAGAGGGGAAAAGGCCCCGTATCCCTTTTCTTGTAACACCCTCAGACACCACAGCAGCCCACCACGGTTGCATTTAATTTCAGAAAGGGGGACTACAGAAATATGAGGAAGCTAGTGAAACAGAAATTAAAAGGTACAGCACCAAAAGTGAAATTCTTGCAAGCTGCATGGAAACTTTTTGAAGACACCATAATAGAGGCTCAACTTAAATGTATACCCCAAATTAAAAAACACAGTAAGAGAACCAAAGAAGTGCCACCATGGAAAAACAACATAGTAAAAGAAGCAGTGAGAGGCAAAAAGGCATCCTTTAAAAAGTTGAAGTTAAATCCTAATGAGGAAAATAGAAGGAGCATAAACACTGGCAAATGAAATGTAAAAATATAATTAGGAAGGCCAAAAAAGCATTTGAAGAACAGCTAGCCAAAGACTCAAAAAGTAATAGCAAAAGAATTTTAAGTACTTCAGAAGCAGGAAGCCTGCTAAACAATCAGTGGGGCCACTGGACAATCAAGATGCTAAAGGAGCACTAAAGGACGATAAAGCCATTGCAGAGAAACTACGTGAATTCTTTGCATCGGTCTTCACGGTTGAGGATGTGAGGGAGATTCCCAAACCTGAGCCATTCTTTTAGGTGACAGATCTGAGGAACTGTCCCAGATTGAGGTGTCATTAGAGGAGATTTTGGAACAAATTGATAAATTAAGCAGTAATAAGTCATCAGGACCAGATGGGATTCACCCAAGAGTTCTGAAGGAACTCAAATGTGAAATTGCAGAACTACTAACTAGTTTGTAACCTATCATTTAAATCAGATTCTCTACCAGATGACTGGAGGATAGCTAATGTGACACCAATTTTTAAAAAGGTCTCCAGAGGTGATCCCGGCAATTACAGGCCAGTAAACCTGACTTCAGTACCAGGCAAACTGGTTGAAACTATAGTAAAGAACAGAATTGTCAGACACATAGATGAACATAATTTGTTGGGGCAGAGTCAACATGGTTTTTGTAAAGGGAAATCATGCCTCACCAATCTACTAGAATTCTTTGAGGGGGTCAACAAACATGTGAACAAGGGGGATCCAGTGGATATAGTGTATTTCAATTTTCAGAAAGCCTTTGACAAGGTCACTCACCAAAGGCTCTTAAGCAAAGTAAGCTGTCATGAGATAAGAGGGAAGGTCCTCTCATGGATTGGTAACTGGTTAAAAGATAGGAAACAAAGGATAGGGATAAATGGTCAGTTTTCAGAATGGAGAGATGTAAATAGTCCCACAGGGGTCTGTACTGGGCCCAGTCCTATTCAACATATTCATAAATGATCGGGGGAAAAGGGGTAAACAGTGAGGTGGCAAAATTTGCAGATGATAGATGTTGGCGGGGGTCCAGCTCCCTCCTCCCTCTCAGTTCCCAGACACAGTTCGCTGGAAAATAACAGTCCAGAGTCCACTCTGCAGTCAATTCAATGTGGTTACTGGGGCTAAACAAGCAAGCATATTCCAAAGCCCTTCACACCAATCAGGTTTATCTCTATACGCCAGTAGAGTTTTCCTCTTCCCCTCCCTCAACTACTATTCTATACGCCGATAGAACCTCCTTCTTCTCCTGACCCCTAACTCCGCACACCAATGGAGCTCCCTCTTCCGCCCCCTCTTCTTGGCAAACTTAATTATACCCATAGCGCCCCATAGTGCCCCTCCCCTGGTACCACCCCTTCCAATATATGGTCATGTTCTGGTCATGTTTACTTCACATTCCCCTAACAACACAAAACTACTCAAGATAGTTACGTTCAAAGCAGACTGCGAAGAGCTACAAGGGGATCTCACAAAACTGGGTGACTGGGCAACAAAATGGCAGATGAAATTCAATGTTGAGAAATGCAAAGTAATGCACATTGGAAAACATAATCCCAACTATACATATAAAATGATGGGGTCTAAATGAGCTGTTACCACTCAAGAAAGATCTTGGAGTCATTGTGGATAGTTCTCTGAAATCATCCACTCAATGTGCAGCGGCAGTCAAAAAGGCGAACAGAATGTTGGGAATCGTTAAGAAAGGGATAGATAATAAGACAGAAAATATCATGTTGCCTCTATATAAATCCATGGTGTGCCTCAGAAAAGGCAACAAAAAATGATTAGGGGTATGGAACAGCTTCCATATGAGGAGAAATTAATAAGTCTGGGACTTTTCAACTTGGAAAAGAGATGACTAAGGGGGGATATGACTGAGGTCTATAAAATCATGACTGGTGTGGAGAAAGTAAATAAGGGAGTGTTAACTCCTTCTCATAACACAAGAACTAGGGGTCACTAAATGAAATTAATAGGCAGCAGGTTTAAAACAAACAAAAGGAAGTATTTCTTTACACAACGCACAGTCAACCTGTGGAACTCTTTTCCAGAGGATGTTGTGAAGGCCAAGACCATAACAGGGTTCATAAAGATCTAGATAAGTTCATGGAGGACAGGTCCATCAATGGCTATTAGCCAGGATGGGCAGGGATGGTGTCCCTAGCCTCTGTTTGCCAGAAGCTGCGAATGGGCGACAGGGGATGGATCACTTGATGATTCTCTATTCTGTTCATTCCCCCTGGGGCACCTGGCATTGGCCACTGTGGGAAGATAGGACACTGGGCTAGATGGACCTTTGGTCTGACCCAGTATGGCCGCTCTTATGTTCTTATGTTGTCTGGGGTGGTTTCCCTTCCAGCTGCTGCGATGTTGGGACTCCTGCCCATGCTCCCCTGCCTGCTCCTCCTCTCCCTGCCAGGCCCCAGCTCTGGCTTCGATGATGACGGCACCGTGGTGCTCACCACCAGCGGCCCCATCCGGGGCAAGCGCCTCCAGGCCGGCTCCAGCACAGTGACGGCCTTCCTGGGCATCCCCTATGCTGAGCCCCCCGTGGGGGCCTTGCGCTTCCAGAAACCGCTTCCCCACCAGCCCTGGAGCCACGTCCTGGAGACCACCAGCTTCGGCAATGTCTGCCACCAGCCTCCGGTCACTGGTTACCCTCAGGCTGATGTCTGGACACCCAAAACGCCGCAGTCCGAGGACTGCCTCTTCCTCAACGTCTGGGTGCCCCATCCCCGGCCCAATGGTACGGCCCCCGTCCTCGTTTGGATCCACGGCGGGGGGTTCTTCTCAGGTGCAGCATCACTTGAGATCTATGACGGGCGCTTCTTAGCTGCCACGGAGAACATGATCGTGGCCTCTATGAACTACCGCCTGGGGGCGCTGGGCTTTCTATCCCTGCCCCCGGCCGCCCCGGGGAACGCCGGCCTGTGGGACCAGCGCCTGGCGGTGCGCTGGCTGCGGGACAATGCAGCTGCCTTGGGTGGGGACCCGGCCCATTTTATACTCGACGGCCAAGACACTGGGGCTGCGTCAGTCGGCTTCCATCTCCTGTCCCCGGGGAGCCAGACCCTCTTCACCCGCGCCGGGCTGAAGAGCGGAGCCCCAAATGCACCATGGGCTTGGATTTTGCTTGAGGAGGCCAAGAAGAGAGGCCAGAGGCTGGGCCAGTTGCTGGGCTGCACCGATAGTGATGACACGGCCCTGGTGGGCTGCCTGAAGGGGAAGGAACCTGGGGAGTTCCCCAAACACGAGTTCTCCGTCTTGAACCGTAAGAAGCAGCTGGCGCTGCCCTTTGTGCCGACACCAGATGGAGATTTCCTCCCTGATACACCACGAAGATTCCTGCAGGCCAGGCGTGGCCAGCCGATACCCATTGCAGCTGGTTTCACTGCCAATGAAGGCTCCTACATATTATACTTTGCTGCCCCAAGCTTCAACCTGGAGAATGCCAGCTCCATCGGCTGGGAGGAGCTGCTGCAGATGGTGAGGCTGATAGTGCCAGGGGCCCCAGAAGAGGCCGTCCAGGCCGTGGCTCGGCGGTACAGCCAGGAGGGGGAGAAGCAGGGCGAGGCACGGTACCGATGGGCCATGGAACAAATCTTTGGTGACTACCTCTTTGTGTGCCCGGTAGCCGAGATGGCTGGGCAAGAGGCAGAGGCTGGAAGTCCTGTGTACACCTACTACTTCACCCACCGCACGAGCGGCTTGTCTACACCTGAGTGGACGGGGGTGCCGCATGGCGCTGAACTGCCCTACGTATTCGGGACCCTGGCATCTGTGGGAGGAGCCAATCACACGCACACAGAGGCAGAGTTAGTGCTCAGCCGCAGTGTGATGCAGTACGTTGCCGAGTTCGCCAGGAGAGGGTAAGGGAATCCCCCAGAATCCTCTTCTCCCCCTGAGCCAGGCCATGAGAGCAGCTGTAAGTCTTTGGCCAGGTGAACACAAATTCCATGAAGACCCAGCTCAATGCCATGGCGAAGAAATTTTTTTTTGAAGTCCCTGACCTAGAGCTGAACTTACTTCAGGGAGGTAAAATCTCAGCCCCCTGGTTCCAGGTTAGGGATAATTCCCTTCTTCCCTCACCAGGGTGTCGGTGATCCCACGAACACACCCATCCTCATTCAAGGAAACAAGGCTTTTAGCTAGCAGCCAATGATCTCAAAGCTCTGCCTGCCCTTTCCCAGCCCGGCCACACAAGCTCAGAGGATGTCTATGCTACAAAGACTATATGGGCATGGCTATGTCAGCCCATCATGTCGCTGCAGCCTGCAGCAGCACAAGGGAGGAAATCAGCTGCCCAAAAAAACAGGTGCTACTTTGACAAAAACATCTTTCTCTCAACATAACTACAGATAACCTAGGGCTAGGTCAGCACAGCTATGGCTGTCACAGGGATGGTTTTTTCACATCTCTGTTTGAGATAACTGTAGCAACTTAACTTTTAAGCGAACACCAGGGCATAGATAAAAAACACGCTCTGTGCACCAAAAATAAGCAAGCAACCCCCCCCCCCCCAAATCTCTTCAACCTTCCCCATTCTGGTCCTAACCAGTTAGTTTAGGCCCATTTATTCCCAGTTTAGGGAAGGGAAGGCAGATGTAAAAAATAAAGACATAATATACCGCACATGGAAGAATGGAGAAGTTGATAGTAATGAATATAAATCAGACATTAGGAATCGTGAAAATTGATAAGGGAAGCAAAGAGGCACAAGGAGAAATCTATGGCCAGCAGAGTCTAAGACAAAAAGAAGGAGTTCTTTAGCTATATTAGGAACAAAAAGAATCCTGATAATGGGATTGGTCCATTACTAGGTGGAAATGGCAGAATTATCAACAGCAATGCAGAAAAGGCAGAAGCGTTCAATAAATAATTCTGTTCTGTATTTGGAGAGAAACCAAATGATGTAATCTCATCGTATGGTGATGATACACTCTTTCCATTCCACTAGTATCTCTGGAGGATGTTAAACAGAAGCTACTAAAGTTAGACATTTTTAAATCAGCGGGTCCAGGTAATTTGCATCCAAGTGTTTTGAAAGATCTGGCTGAGGAACTCGCTGTCCCATTAACATTGATTTTCAATATATTTTGATGCACTGGGGAAGTTCCAGAAGATTGGAAGAAAGCTAATGTCGCTGTGCCCCTAACTATTCAGCAGGTTTGGCCTCTCCCCCTGCTCTTGAACTACACAGGGATCTGTGTGGTGCAAGCTCATTAATTAGTCCACTCCCCCCTTGATTTGGGGACGATATGCACCAACTTTGTTACCAGAGCTAAGATTCCCTAACACTTCACTCAATAACACACTTTTAAAGATAAAACATAAAACAGGTTTCTAGACGACAGAAAGATAGATTTTAGTTGATTATAAGTGATAGCAAACAGATCAAAGTAGATTACCTAGCAAATAAACAAAATCGCAATTGCAATCTCATACAAACTAGATAGGATTTGAGTCAAGTTGTGTCTCATCCAGTTAAATAGTACAAGCAGGTTTTAACTTCCTTACACAGGCCGGGCTTTCTTCTTTCCCGCCTGAGACTCCCTTCCCCAGTTCAGTCTTTGTTCCTCCGGTGTTTCCAGGTGTTGTCTTCTAGGGGAGTGAGGACCCTTGGTGATGTCACTTCCCCCATGTATAGTTTTTTCCATATGGCGGGAACCCCTTTCTTTCAAGCAAGGTTTCCAGCCCAGATTGTGGGAAAATATAGGTACCAAAAGGGAGTTCAGTATCACGTCCTTGCATGCTTCGCTGAGTCATAGGAGCCATTTTTCATAGGATCACTGAAGTGTCCCCAGGGGTGGACAAACCTTTTCCATGGCCATTGTCTTTGTCGAACTAACCTCTGCAGAGTGTGTTGAATTTCCCCACAGGAACTTCACGGGGATAGGGGGCAGCAGGAAGCAGTGGCACCCCTACGACCCCACAAAGCAGAACTTCTTCCGCATCGGACTGAAGCCACCCCAAGTCAAGGAGACGTCCCCTGCCCACCGCTGCAGCTTCTTGGCATCACTGCTCACAAGGAAGCCAAGCCCTACTGGTGAGCATCAGAGGGCTGAAAGGACAGCAGCCCTAAAGCGGAAAGGCCTCGTGTCTCCCCACCCTTCTGAGCCAGCCAGTCCCCCCCATCCCTGGGGCTGGATTGGAGCTGGTGCCCCCTAGAGGGGAAATACCCTGGATCACATTCACAAATCCGTGGGATCTTCTGGCCTCCTAGAGATGCCCCATTTTCCTGCCTGGGGTAGATCTTGCATCACCCGGGAACTCCAGAACCATCTGCTGTGGGGCAGCCCCAGGTTCTTCCCCATCTTCACTTGCTCGGCCCCTCTGGGTAGAACAATGATTCCCATGTTTCCTGTATCAGCCAAACTCCATATAGACCCCTTTCCAATGGAGGAGGCACGAGCTAAGACAGGGTGATGCCTAACAGGGTGGGTGGGGACGGAAGGATGGATCCGAGGACAAAGGGGCCTGGGGGCAGGTGGCCCATAATGGCACTGAAGAGAAAAGAGGCAGTGAAAAAATAACACACAGCTGGCTCTGGGGAGGGGCATGGCCACTGTGTAACTGTGCAGCACAGGGTGTGAAGGAGAATCCAGCAGCCGCTAGGAAACCTTTGTGCTGGAGGTGGTGGGACTCTTATGGGAGGCAGAGCAGAATGTTGCACATTGGACCCCGGGGTTCACACATGCTGGGAAACACAGGACATCCACCAGCACAGCATCCCCTCCTGCTAGAACATAGCAGTGGGAGGA